CTGCTCTTCACTAAAGTCAATAAAAAGGCAGAGTCGGTGTGAAAAGCGTGTTTGATATGATCTGCCCCTAATTCATACCTGCCAACATTTGTGTCTAAATTTCTGGGAGACGGGGGTGTAAATTTTTGTCTGAATAACACAGTTGAGATCCGGATAGTAACTGTACTGTGGTGTAAGTAACTGCACTATGGACCGGGTTTCGGGCGGCTGCTGCGATCGGACCCCAGGATGGTACAGACTGCCAAAAATCCGAGTACTGGGGGTGAAATTACTGGAGTTTTCCGGGAGCAATATCAAAACGGGAGGGTGGCGAGAAATGGGTCTGAAAAAACGGGAGTATTGGCAGGTTTACCCTAACTCCTCCGTCTGCAGCGAAGCCTTTTTTCCTCACAAAAATATTGTTTACTTTTGAATTGAGTCATAATGCAAAAGTAAACTGGTTGCACCTGACCTTTTTTTGTTGATTTTAACTGTGAGTCACCTGAATTAAGGAGGATCATTTTCCTTGCCAGTTCTCTGCTGATTGTCATGAGAAAGATATCCAACATGTAGCCTGAATACTCATGTATATATTTTAACCATACACTGTTTTTGTCATTGCAGAAGAACATCGTGCATAGAGACTTGAAGCTTGGAAACATGGTGCTTAATAAAAGGTAAGATGTCTCTCCTTCTTTTTCTTTTCACTAGTGTGCTGCTGGAGATATGTGTGCTCAACTCTGTTGGGGTTTCATAGAGCACCGTCTGGCCTCATTGACCCTTCTCTTCTTGAGCTCTTATTGAGAGTGTGATTCATCCCTACAGGCTGAAGAGGGAGGGAGGGAGCAGTGGGAAACTATCCCAGTTAAAACGAGTAGGCATGGAACGTGCCCTTGCTTCATTCCCCGAAAAAAACAGAGGGTGATGAAGCCGGGGAGGGGGGAGAAACCACACATGCTGGCTTAAAGGCATCTGAGGTTGATAAGCATTGTGAATCGAATTGTCCTAGCGGAGTTCCCAATCCCTCATCCATAAAGACCCTTTCCAAATACCATATGTGCTGCGTGCGTGTCTGTTTCTGCCATGTGTGCGTGTGGAACCGGGATGCATTTAACCATGGTTTTGTTGCCTCTGCCATTTCAAATGTCCCGAGGAACGAGAGACTCACTGACTAATTGAAAATCCTCAGTTCTGCCTGTCACATTTGCCAGCATGTGCTGCTTGCCGCTGAGTTCTCGCATATTGTAGTTCAGTCACATAAGTGCACAGCTTGTCTAATTACGAAACCCGTCACACCATATAAGCTCAGTGGCATGTGTAGAGAAAGTAGGAGTGGGCTCTTCTTTCATCTTTCCCTTTCCTTGTTGCTTTACGAGCAGTTGTACTTTTGCATCCTGGATGGTTGAGTTGACGGTATGCATTGCGCAACTTGCCATTTCACCCATTCAGTTCCACACTGTATAATTAAGGTGATATGTTTACACATCTTAAAAAATTTGGAGTTAGATAAATTTTTTAAAAGAGATTTAATACTTTTATTTATCATGGAAGGTAAAAAATATGACAGAACAAACTCTGTCATGAAAGTCTTAAAGAGTCTTTGCACATGTCTTGAAAAATGCTATTTTAAGACAAAGTTTTGCACAAAATGAAAATGTATATTTTTAAGGATAATATTTGCTGTATTCAACCACGTTTTTAAATGGTTAATCACATACAATTTTTAATTATTTATAAGCTGCAAAAATAAACTGAAAATGTATTGCCCAAGTTTAATTGATGTGTGTAATACTCGTTAATTGCTTATAACAGGTAAATTATAGGCCCAGTTCTATTTTTTTGTACCTCTACCCCTTCCACTTCTCCTTGGCCCTTAAAACAATGTGAAGGGGGAGGGACACCACTACAACATCTGCATCTGTCATCATTAGTCATCGCGATCTTTTAATTCATATGAGATCGACTGCTGCTGTAGTTATTCCACCTGCGTTTTTTTTTTTTTTTGGTATTTATATTCAGGTAATCACTGAAGGCAATAATATCATGTTATCATAACAATATAATGTGGCAATAAGCTTTGAACTGTACCGTGTATTTACACTGTGGCCATATTCATTTAAACACACGAAAACAACAATAACATTAAACACACTGTAAAAAGGTCATTCACAGCCACTAAACCTTTTTTGTCAAGAGTATTCGAGTGCCATCGAGTGACGCATGTGAAAGTATGTTGTGGGACTACTATAAAAGAGTTATCATTATGGATTATAGACAGTGAAATTTATAATTTTTTTTTCGTTTTTTTTGTAAACATGGCGGTAAAACACGAACACCGTTATGAATGCATTGAAACATATGCTTGTTTGTTGTAAAAATGATTAACGATGACACTAAAATATTAATTTGTGCATCTCTTGACTTCCGTGTGCAGCTATGTTGCGGATGTAGATGGTGTATTCTGGGAAATTTTCGTACCTCTTGGTTTGGTTCTGAAAAATATTAGTTTCAAGGGCTATCTAGCCCTACCCCTTAGCCCTACACTTTCAAACTAAAAAGAATTGGACACTCCTATCCCTTCATGTGAACACCCAAAACAAGGGTAAGGGGAAGAGCTAAGAGGTCCAGTTGGGATTGGGCCATAATTTTGCCACCATTTCTGCTGGTATGTTTCACACATTAATTTAATTTGAGTATTTTCAGTTTAGTTTCTTATCTTGTAATTTACAAGTAATTTACAAATTAAAACTGGTTGGCAGATTGAAATGATATAACAACGTTTTTATTTTTGCTTTGCACCTAACTTTGCACACGTCATGCAGAACGCACATTTAAATAAATTGCAGTTTTGCATATAGCGTTTCCATTTTGCATGTTACATTCTGAAATTAGTTTTGCTTCTCATATGTTCCCTAAATCTGAGCCATAACTTTAGAGATCTTTCTGAAAGGAAAGGGGATCTTATGTTTTTAAAGCTAGGCTTTCAGAAATTGCTTACTCTAGCTTTAAGTCACACTTACATTTGTGTGGTGTTTACTTAAAAGTGCTTATGCATCAACCAATTGAGTCTGGCATAAAAAAGTTGTCTCACTTCTGCTTCCTTTCTCATAGTCCTACTGATTATAAAACTGACAGGATGGCAAAAATAAAATAGGAAATTCTAGTTCAGAATATAGCTAGTGTCTCTTTTATATCTTGGTAAATTTACCATGTATTTTCTTTTCTTTACAAAAAGGCTTGGGAACTTATTTTTGCCCTAATTTCCTGCATGTGCCATTGTCAAGTCAAAACATTTTAGAGCCTTTTTTCTTGGAAGCAATTTAAAAGGGCAGGCATGGACCGGCATCGGATTGCTAAACAACAAAAGAAAACTCATCCACACACAAACACACTCGTCATTGGACCCTATGGTGATGAAACCAAGCAGCCTGGTCTGTCTGCTTCAGTTCAGCGAGAGAGCAGAACACTGTGTCCCAGCTGGAGATAATACAGCCCTCTGCCAAAGGATCCATAGCTCAGAGCTGAGTCACACTCACGTAACGCTGGCAGAGCTCACTCTCTCTCTTTCTCTCGCTCTTTCTCTCCTTTTCACTCTCCAAAATACCCTTGTGATCCTACTGTCTGTGTGACCCTGCCCAGCCAGCAGACTGTTGGCTTTGGGTGGAATGGAAAGTACTTGGTATTAGTCATAAGTGGTCCATGACATGTACACTCGCTTTAGCCCTTTGAAAACCACCCAGCTGAATCTGCTGTCATGCAATATCTGTGAA